AGGAGCAGCATTCAATTTACGGAAAGCGCCATAGCAGCAAAACTAACGGAAAAACAAGAAGATACCCCCTTAGGGCCTTTTGTAAATTGATTCTTGTTCCATGAGAAAATGTCGTAAACAGCTCGGAGACGTCTCAATTTCTTCAGAAATGTTTGCTCTACACGATCAACTTATTTGCAAAGAATTTCTGGATTGAACTCTGGGACTTGGTTTTCTGAGATTTAAGTTTTCCAGAGACCCTGATTTCAGGAGTTTTGATGGAGCCTTTGTATACATCACCTGAGATCGGAAATTCTTTCAGCTATTCAAATCTTTTTTCAAATTTATTCTGGCTATTATGATCATGCAATAATTGCAACTAGACGCATTTATATGTCGCCGGGTTAAATAAAACTCAAATTTGAGCTTTTAGAGCGTTTTAACGCACTGCTATTAAAAATAATAGTAGAATCTCTTGCTCATTTTATTCCAATGGTGATTTTCGTCATTTTCCGATCGATTCATTGTATCTTATCTTGACCGCGTGTTTCTCTATATGATACTGTTTTATCCTCAAATTTTCTAATTGCCTGAACACTCTAAGCACACCGCAATCATACGTCTTACGTATGATGATAATGATGTTATTCTACACGCGTATTATTTTTCTTTTTTTCTATATTAGAATTCACTTTTTGCATACCAGTCTGACTGATGATGTCTTTAAAATAAAGAGGTTTAAATAACGTTTGTGTCATATTTTCACACTATTTTGCGTCAAAATTTTTAATAATGAAGTACTTGAAATTTCACGTTGACTGTTTTCCTATATTGATACTAGAGAGAAAAGTAGGGGCGGCACTTTCTCGTTCCTTTCCAGAGTAACGGTAACGTGATATCTTTTATTTCAACAGTAAAGAGGAAAGATATAATCTATATCTTTTCTTTCCTGAAAAAAAAGGAAAGTGGCACCTTTTCTTTTCCAAAAGACAACTGTATCTGTTGCACAAAACCGTTGGCTTTTGCTGTTTGAAGTTTGACATTTTTCGATAGATAATGTTCTTAAGTGACTTCGAAGATGAAAATGAGGACGGAAAGACTTAGCATAATATCTGATCTAGTGCTTTGAAGTATTTTTAGAGTCAGAGTAGTTCAAGTACCACAAAAACTATTAAAACTTCTAGAAGATATTGTACTTACTTCTAAGCGCTGGAAAATAAATTATAGTAGATACTTTCCGATCTCATTATTCTCCTTTTTCAAGGTGCATCCATGGATCAAATCTACTGATAAATAGTGATGCTATCATTTAACTGTGGAAAGATATCAGATACGCAAAGCTAAACTCTAACAGAAACTTCACTCCATTTTTATTCTTATCTAATGTTAGCAACAGTCTTGACTTACTGTGAGTGATATATATGGCGAATGTGGAGGACTTGATGAAGCAAAAAAGTCGGCAATTTCAGCTTTTCGAGCTGAAAACAGATAGACAATGTAAACTATTGAAAGTTAGAGGGTAGTTAATATTTTGATACCTTCATTCCAAATTCGTTTATTATCAATAATCAACCGATAAGCAATAACCAATTGATCATGTCGATCACTTGTCATTAAAGCATCTTCCATTTCCGATTCAGTGACACCAAATTTCTAGGTAGTAAAACACAAAACATTACTAAAACATTCATCCAATTGAAATTTATTCTTCATACGTTCACCTAATAAAACTCATCTATGAAAATATAAAATCACCATTATTTCTTATGATTACACAAATAAAATTAAGTACTCATGGTTGAGAGTATAAGAAACAGAGTGCAGAAAAAACATGATGATAGTTGATGAGTATTCAACTTGTCCAACTGCACTAAACTTCTAAATACGGATGTTCGGTTCTCGATTCCGATTCTCGTACTAGAACCGAAACAAACCGCGGTTCCGGTTTCAAAATTAGAAGAGAACTTCTCAACTAAAAACTAGGCATGCGCCAATACCAATCATTATTGATGATATTGTACAATATTACTGGTTATCCAATAATATTGGGTCCCGATATTATTGTATAGCCAATCTGTTGAGATCAATAATATTGGGTAATATTGGGTTCCGCAATACACTGGATTTTAACTTTTTAACCTTAATATCATTTATCTTTATAAAAACGTGAGAAAGCATATCCCGATCGGGATTAGGCATGCATCGATTAATAATTGATGCTAGGACATCCAAAGCAAAGCCGTTCCGAATCAGTTATAAAAAAGTACTTAGAGCTGTCAAATGTCTCATTTTGTAGAAAAATGTTTGCTTTATCAAACTGACGTGCAAAAAGATATTTTAGTGTTATCTGCGACAGAAATATAAACATCCAAAACTGAGTAAAATTGTGAAAAAAGCGGCTGTCGATTATTTTTCTATGATTATAGTTCGTTTTCGATTTTTTGTATTTTCTCTATATATAACATCAAAATTTTTATAGCACTTCAGTTTGGTAGAGAAAATATTTTCCTACAAAATGAGGCGTTCGGCAGCTCTAAGGACTTTTTTTTATAACTGATTCGAAACGACTTTGCTGAATGCTCTAATACTGATTATTAATCGGTGCATGACTAATTCGGTTATTTTTTGATTCAAAATGGATCACCAATATTATTGGTCCCAATAGATTGTATTGGTGCATGCCTACTTAGAATCGGAATTTTTTTTTTCAGACAGTAACAATTCAATGAAATAGAATTCATTTTATAGTAAGCAAAAGGATTCTTTGAAATGATGACAGGCAAATATTTTTTGTAGCTTTGTCAATAGTGCGTATTCATTTTGTTAAAAGAAAGGCAAGTAAAAAACTCTTGATTCCCGAAAAAAAAAGAACCGTCTAAGAAATCGCGGTTCCGATTCCATTGTGAGAATCGGCACCGTGGTTCTTCACGAGAATCGAAAACCAAACATCTCTCCTTCTGACATGTTCACTAAACATAAGCAAAAGACGATACTTGCACAAGGGTATGATAAAAAATAGAAAAATGTAATAAAAATAGCAGAAAAATCTTACCTCACAAACTTCTTGTATAGCATCTAAGTCAATGATATGGGTGTTTTCTTCACATTGTTTTGGAAATAAATAATCGGGTAAATTGATTTTAAACCATGCATGCTCACTATAAAACGTAAAAGAGAGTAAATTATTTTAGAATGAAATCCTCTTTCTATCGTGTACCTTATATGTTTCATTGTTGCCCGTTTAACAGGATCAACGGTTAACATTTTTTGTAATAAATCAACAACAGATGGATTCAATGTTTCAGGAATTGGAAATATACCAGCTTAAGTAAGAAAAAACAATTTTTTCAAATATAGAAAAAGAAAAACAAATAAATTCAGTTACTTACATCGAATTGCTTTAAACAATAACTGAACATTATCCTCATCAAATGGTAACTAGAAAAACAAACAAAAAAAAAAAACTTTATGAACTTTTCCAGTCTACTGAATCTAAAGATACAGCTGAGGAATACGACTAACAGTCAAATATTCCTCTTATAAAGCTTAACAACAAAAATATTTTCGTAATAATCAAGTATTCTTACTGTTCCTGTTAACAAAGCATATAAAATAACCCCACAACTCCATATATCGACTTCTGGACCAGCATATAATCTAAATTAAAGAAAAAATGTTAACAAAATGTTGACTATATATATATATATCTGTAAATCATACTGTCCAGACACAACTTCGGGTGCAGCATAATTCGGTGAACCACAGCTTGTTTTAAACAATTCACCATCTTTCATCATGTTGGATAAACCAAAATCGGCAATTTTTACACATGAAGCATCAACTAGTAATAAATTTTCTGGTTTTAAATCACGATGAACCTACGAGAAAACAAATATAATTCGAAATAAAATTGCATTAAACATACTCACAATCATATGTCTATGGCAGTAATCAACACCAGATATAATTTGTTGAAAAAATGGACGTGCTTCTGCTTCGCTTAACTAAAATCATACAAAAAATAAACAATTCAACACTTGTGAGGATCACACAATAACTAATAGACAGAAGAAAGTAACTAGACTTGTATTGAATTAAAAAATGAATTTGTGTACTTAAATCAACTTCGTCTTACTTTTCCTTTTTTAATAATATGATCAAATAATTCTCCACCAGCTACATATTCCATAATCATAAAGATATCAGTTGGTGTACTTATGACTTGATATCTGCAACAGATATCAAAAACTATACGAGATTCTTGCTCACCATTACAAATCACTTACAGTCTAATAATATGTGGATGACGAAACAATCTTAGATTTTGTATTTCTTTCCGAATTTTACCCACAACATCTAACTGTTTTATTTTAGAACGATTCACAATTTTAATAGCAACCGTATGATGGGTCAACTGATGATAGGCTTCTAGAAGAATGAAACAAAGCAAGAATAACTCTCATACAAGAAAACTGAGAGCGTGTATAACTCACTTTTAACCTTTCCAAAACTACCTGTACCAAGTGTTTCCTCGATAATATAATGTCCAATTTTTGTAATATCAGCATCCGTTTCGTTTAATGAAATTTCTTTGTTTTTTCGTTTATATATATCCTAAACAAGAAAAACATGACAAATTTGTTAAACAAAGTTTATCAGCACCGAAAAAAATTCCTGTACATACCAGATCAGATGTCATTGGTTGATTAATTCAGCAACAACGTTCTAGTAAGTGTGATATCTGTAAAATAAACATTTTAATATTAAACAAAGATCAACAAAGTACTAGAATAAGGATATAGTATGGTGACCGTAAAATTAGTCTATGATTAAAAAAATGCAATCATTAGTGAATGCATATATGTTAAGTAAAATGTTGTAGCGCTTTTCTAATTAAAAGCCTTATTTAACTTAATATAGCCATCCAATGAATATCATTTTACCTAACACACATATTCAGAGTGCATAATCTATTGTAGAAACAAGCGGGGTCATCTAATCCCCGCGAAATACAAATACCAATACCACTGAGATCAAAAATTTCAAAGTTTCCGAATTTCTAGTACCAAAACCTCGCACACATATAGTCTTCTCTAAGACTAAGACTAAGACTAAGATTGTTTATTCACGAAAAGTGAGAGTCATCAAAGATCACCGACCTGTAGTAACAATGACTCAAGCCAAACAACACTAAAGTAGTAATAAACGAAATAACAAAATAAAGAAGACAACTAAGATTAGAACCAGAAGTAGTAAAATAAAACAAAAACAAAAACAAAAACAAAAAAAGAACAAGCATAAATGCTTAACTGACAAGCGTTTCACTGGAAGAGATACTGAAGTAAGGCTGTTGTGAAAGACATAAAAGAAGAAAGATAAATAACTGACTTTGGAAGATTATTCCAATCAGTAATAGTTGAATAAAAAAATGAAGAATGCACCGTTTGTGGAGAAAAACCATCAACAGAAGATGAAAGACGAACGTATTTAGAGTGATGAAGACGTAACGATGAGTAGTGAGGACGATGAATAGTGTAAAAGAGAGAAAACGATGATAAATTTTCTCTTAGTGCTAGGCAGCCGAGGACCAAAAAGCACAATACATTTACAGAAACTGATAAACATTACGAGTAAACGGCTTGTCCAGCTAACGCTCTCCTTTTTTCGCTCTTTTCCAAAGAAGTATGGCAATAAAGTTAGAACATAATCTAAAATTACAACTAGATAATTAAGTAGATTAAACATTTCTCTATAAAATGAAAAGTATCTCGGCTCTGAACGTTGATTCGTTATGAAAATACAGTTGTTGTACAAACAGCCCCAAAAATCAATGTTGAGGCTATCTAAAAAGCGTGTCTAAAAGAGTGAAGACGAGTTGGCAAAAATAGAACAAGTATATCTGTTTGTAGAAAATTGTTTGCTCTACAAGATGTGATAGCTTCTCAAGTTCGAAACTATCTAATTAATCTGTATTAATCAAAGAAAAACCGTGACACTTTTGACCGTTTTTTGTCACGACGTCACGGTTTTTCTGATTTTTCTTTGATTAATACAGATTAATTAGAATAGTTTCGAACTTGACAAGCTATCACATCTTGTAGAGCAAACAATTTTCACAAAAACACGCTTTTTAGATAGCCTCAACAACGATTTTTGGGGCTGTTTGTACAACAGCTGTATTTTCATAACGAATCAACGTTCAGAGCCGAGATACTTTTCATTTTATAGAGAGATGTTTAATCTACTTAATTATCTAGTTGTAATTTTAGATTATTTTCTAACTTTATTTCCATACTTCTTTGAAAAAGAGTGAAAAAAGAAGAGCGTTAGCTGGACAAGCCGTAAAAGTGCTGCCAGAAAGTTTGAGTTATGCTGGAAGACAAAATGATTTATATCCACTTACTTCATAATTCATCGAACCAATGGGAGATTCGGCAGCGAGTTATGCACTTGAACTGAGACCGAAATGAACCCAGTTTCGTCAAAAAGTAATCATGCCACAATAGAACTATGAGTAAAGTATTTCTGAATCACAAATCCATCTCTTATGATCTCAAGAATCTGATGTGCGTAACGTGGAGGTACTCTCATCAACTGCATGGCTTCCCCTTTGTCCTGCGGGAAAGCTCCATTCCAGTTATCCTTACCTTTTTTAATCCTAAATCAGCAAAAGTATGTCGACACCAGAGCTGCCAGATGTTCCGCATTTTGCGGACAAATTCCGCAATTTTCTGTAATTTTTTCCGCAAAGTGTTCCCGTTTTTGCAAAAACGCATTTGGGAATTTTTCGTTTTTTTCCTAAAATGAAGATTTTTACATTTTCTCTAAAATTTGAATGACTTGTCAAAACAATGCTTTTCTAACTTTATGAAACAGATGCGCACTGTTTTAGGAACTAAATCAGAAATTTGGAGCGGTAACAGAAAAGCATTAGTTTGTCTCACGTGCTGCTGAAAGGAAGTGTGAAATATTAAATCTTCAAGAAAGTTGTCATCTTCTAGCTCCCAGGAGGATATTATTCTGTTTCTAGATGTCACTCAGAAACTCTGATGGCTATCCTAATGGCCCAGGTTCTCAGGATACTCTCTTGATAGAAATGTTAACAGAAACTAGAGGGACTAAGAATGATCACCCTTTCTGCAGTCGAGTGATAAGTGTTCGACAATGTATGTACTCTTTTTTAAATAAAAATGAATAAAAGACCAAACTGGAAAAGATATCAGTAAAAAAAGTATATACGCGATGTATGCAACTAGCTAAAATCAAAAAAAAGTAAATGTCTTACTGACGACTTTATCTGTATATCCGAAAAAGAAGACAAGTCAGCACATGATGAATGAGAAAAAAGAAGAAACAATATCAGTGAACGGTAAAGAACAGAAACAGAATATAACTAACCAGAAAAAGAAGAATCTACGGTCGACTACCTCTGGTGCTATCTAGGAGAGAGTGGATCCTGACAAAAGTCAACTCGGTCAGAAAATCTTAACCATTAACTACTGTCAGGCGGGAAAGTTTCGAATAAACTTTTATCCTGCCATACATAACTCTTGAAATTTATGACGGCTGATTAAAAACGCGCATCTACAAAAAGCCAATATCGATTTAAATTGAGATTTAAATGATGTTTTGTACTGCTGTTGTGTTTCTTAACCCTTTACCCCCCACAGTGGTTCCAGAAGAGCCACTGATGAAACAACTGCTGGAATAGAATACTGGTGTCTCCAATATGGCAATAGTATGGACAGATCGGTCAGGCGCACTCTCGTTTGTGC